TAAGTGTTACTTAAGTGTGCTTCTTGAAGGATTGTGTCAGTTTATCTGGCCATTAGCCAGGTGTGAATGTATGTTTCCCAAAGCTTTGACCAGCGTTGGGTATTTAATTTTTACATGGTTTAATGACTGTTAATTGGGAGCGTACTATATGTACAGTCTTTAATTTGTATTTTCCTAATTACTAAGGAAGTTGAGTCTTTTAAAAATATATATGTTTATTGTTTGTATTTCCTCTTAGGTGCCCTGTTCACTTCAGCAACAGACATAGTTTGAGTGCCCACTATGTGCTTCCCTCAAAGAAGAGTGACCTAACAAAAATGACCATTTGGGATAGGGTGGGGAGCCAGGATAGTATAGAATAAATGACTAACTGTACTCAGTTAGCAGAAGCACATTATTGGCAGGCCGTTTGGGCTAAGTCTTGTGGGTAGAAGACAAAGTAGGAAGGGGTTGATTCTCTTCAAAACAGATTAGGCTTTTGCAGGGCAAGTGACTTTAGAACTGGGGCCAAACAATGGGTAAGATTTGTCCAGGTGGGAAAAAATGTGTCGGGGGAGAGGGAATAATTTGGAGAGAGTTAAGGGAGGTTGAAAAACCTAAAAATATAGTACTTGTGTTATGGAGTTGTGAACGTTTCATTATAGCTAAAATGTGGAATGCTGGGGCTGAGGGATGATGGATAGTGGGTCAGGGTTAACTTCAGGATCCTGATCTTTGTCCTGAAGGCTGTTTTTGTTTTTAAAGAGGAATGACATGAGCTAATCTGTGTTTTAGAAAGACCTTTTTGGCAGATAATGAGAGGTAGATTTGGGGACACGAGTTATAAGATGAGCCTATCTGTGTCCTTAGCCACTTAACAAGGGTCAGAGAGATAGGACTAAGGATAAGCACATTAACTCTTTATATGTCCTACTTAAAACTATATTCCCATTTCATGGTTTTCATTTGTTTATTTTATTATTATTTTAAATATATTTTCATTGATTTCAGAGAGAGGAAGGGAAAGAGAGAGAGAAACATCAATGATGAGAGTCATTGATTGGCTGCCTCCTGCACACCCCCTACTGAGGGTCGAGCCCACAACTTGGGCATGTGCCCTGACCAGGAATCAAACCATGACCTCCTGGTTCATGGGTGAAGATGCTCAACCACTGAACCACGCCGGCCAGGCTGCTTTCATCTTTTTAAATGTTTAAATTGTGGTAAAATATGCATTACGTAACATAACATTTACTATCTTAACCATTTTTTAAAAGGTTATTGATTTGAGAGAGAGAGGAAAGAGAGAGAGAGGGAAATGTCTACTTGCTGTTCCACTCATCCATGCTCTCACTGGTTAACCCTCGAATGCACCGGGACCCTACTGCAACCCTGGTGCACCAGGAGACGCTTCAACCAGCTGAGCTACCCGGCCAAACCTACTGTCTTAACCATTTTTAAGTGTATAATTCATTAGTGTTAAGTAAATTCACATTGTTGTGCAACCAATCACCAGATCATAGTTTTCCTTTTTAGTTAATTAGTTGAGTTTTATTAAAAAGAAGTTGAAATTTGTACCAATTCACTTTTTTTGGTAATAATTACTATTCTTTGCTTAACATTTTATGTTGATAATGTTTTTTAACATTTAGGATCTCCTTTGATCCTCATAAACATGCTTCTGAGAGATATTATCCCCATTTTAGAGATGAGAAAGCTGAGGCCAAGAGATTAAAAAGATCTAACAAGCTTGGCTTGTTTATCTTTGAAAAACAAAGAGCATCACCCAGATTTATAGGCTGAGAATTTCATCCATTCAGTCATTTATGCAACAGGTATTACCTGAGTACCTCCTATATGCCACTGTTAGGAGAATGATGTTGAACAAAATAGACATATTGCCTGCATTTATGGAGCTTAAGGACTAGTGGAGGAAACAGGCATTAATCAAGAAATCATAAAAATAATGAAGTAATTATAAACTCTCATTGAAGAAAAGAAATACCATGTTATGAGAACAATTTTTAAAATATAATATTAGTAATTTTATTATTTTATTTTATATTTTATTTTATTTTATCTTTATTGTTGAAAGTGTTACAGATGTCCTCCTACCCCTCACTGATCCCCTTCACCCCGAATCCACCCCCAGGCCTTCCCCACACTATTGTCTGTGTCCATAGGTTATGCATATATGCATATAGATTCTTTGATTAATCCCTCCCCACCCACTCCCCCACCCCCACT